ATCAAGAGCATCTTTAGTTGGTCACGTTGATCATTTCTTTTACTCTCCTGACTTCAATGTGTGATGTGGGGTGGGGGGATAGTTGGGACAAATTAGGTGCTCTCTCTCCCCTCCCCCTCTCCCTCCTCATTAACCTTGTGGCTCTTAAGGGTTAATGAGGAGAGAGAGGGGGGGGGGAGGGGAGAGAGAGAGCACATTGCATGACCATACCACACAACAGACAAAGCGGAGACTTCAATACCTCAAAGCATCAGCAATAACGAAAAAGTTTGTTTCATACAGAAACTCACTTACATCTTCCGCCCTCCACACTTTGATTGTTCTGTCCTGTGAAGAGGAGTAAATAAGCCCTTCCCCTCCCCACTTGATACATGTCACTGACTTGGTATGGCTTGATAATGTCCTTATCAACTGACTGAGGATGCAATCCCATATTTTGATAGTTGTATCCTTCAGAGAAGAAAGTAGTCTGATACATGACGTGATTCACAATACAGTGGGCAGGATTTTCATTAAAATTTTAATTTTCATTAAAAACCAGTTACTGGCAGTCTACCACCATATCTAAGATCTCCTCCTGCTGTCTATTTAGCTTGGGACCAGGCTCCCATGTTTGGTTTTCACCTTACGTCCCCTTTCTAGGCACAGCCCCCTCTTATAACATCAATAGCTGCTTAAAATAAAAGTTATCAAAACCCCTTAATGGGTACCATAGAGATCGTAATTATAGTTCCAGCAAAAAAATTGAAATCAAATGGTTAAAAAGTCTTATTGCAACAAGTTACCAATTGGAGAATTCTGCCGATGATCATCTAAACTCCATCCCGTGAAACAAAACATGATTTAAGTAGAGAAGAAGAAAATACTTGAAACTTGAAAAACCACAGACTTGTTTGAGCCACTGTTACTTTTAAAATGATCTTTGCCCTTACCCTATGTAACTTTTGATTGAACCAAAGGAGCTTGAAAACAAATTTTGGACATCCCTTGACATGGGGATGGAATTTGCAAAGTGTTTCATGTGATACTGGGTCTACAGTGGAGCAGCACTTACTTTTGATGAACTTGCAAAAAACCTACATTCAGGATCACTAAAAACAAAAACAAAGAAGGACGACAAACATTTTAGGTTTAACCCTTTAACTCAATCGGTCAATTCAGTGTCTGCATTTGTAGTGATATAGTAAGGAGAAAACATCATTTCTCCTTACCATATCAATACAGATTCAGACACTGAATTGACCAATCACAGCATGCGTTTTACTTTTGTTATGTTATAAATGCCTTTTTCAACCTGATTACCCTAGGTGGACAGAAAAGGGTATTTAAAAAAGAGTTACTGATTTTTTTATTTCCTCTGTCAAAATGCAACTCATTTTTGACCATTGTTTCATGCTGCCTTGCTCTCCTGGATAAAATTGGACTACAAAAATTTTCCTTTCATTTCAGATTACAACAGCCATCATAACTAATGAAAGAAAAAGGGGGAAATCAAATGGATTGAAACATTTCTTACCCTTTACAAAACTTTAAACAACACATTGCATATCACGTTCTCTGTTTTACTAAAAAGTTCTTTACCTATGAAGTGGTTTCCAGCTGAGCCATGTAATCCACTGCAAATGACCCTTCAATGTCTTTCCTATTTGCTTCCCATTAACAGGGTTCCACACTCTGATCTAAAAAAATTTAAACAACTTTTTAACCCTTGACACCCGAACATCAATATGCATATTCTCTATTCTGTTTTTCATACATTTCCTAAGGTAGAAAGATGTTTTTTTGTCTAGTCACGAACGTGGGACAAAGAAAAATTCTGAGTCCCCATGAAGAATCGAACTTCAGACCTTCGCATTCCATGCTCTGATGCTCTACCACTCAGTCACAGAGACTCTACGGTTAGCAAAAGGGAAAAGGAAATTTGTTCTAAAACTCCAAATTGTAAGAACACTAACCCAACCTGTAATTTACAATTGAATATTATATTCTTACTTCACCATTCTTACAGCCAGAAGCTAACTTCTTCCCATCTGGAGACCAGGCTATATGTAAAATCCAATGTGCATGGCCTTAAAAATAATTCCCGTGTATCAATTGTTAGAATCTCATGTATCATAAATGCACTGCTCAAAATGCTTTTGAATTAGTTCAACGTCAACTAAAAATCTACAGCACCAGGACTTTGATATTGAAGAATCTTGACAACAGTTGTTGATGGGTACCTTTACAAGTAAAGTGAGGAGTTTCTGTGTTCACATCCCAAAACCGAACAGTTGTGTCTCCTGAACCACTTGCCAAATATCTAATAAGGACAGATACAATAAAGAAAAAACAATTTTATCTTTTTTAAAGGAAGGTGTTCTTTGCCTTGTCATGAACTTGGGACAAAGGAAAAAGTTCTGAGTCCCCATGAGAAATCAAACCTCCAACCTTACAATTCCACACTCCAATGCTTATCTGACTGTGTTATTGACAATAGAGCTCAAAATGCACCATCTTTTGGAATTTCCATACAAGATTTACTGATCCTCTATGGTAGAATATAGAGTGCTTTTCATATAATCATATGAGCCTCGTATATTCAGTAAGAGACCTACCTTGCCCACCAGGTCTTTGTAACTTAGTGGTGGAGCTATGGGCCATGAAATTCCAAGGCTTGAGATTTAAATCCTGATGGAAAACCTAGATTTCTTTCTGTGTTCCTTTCTCATAACAATTAAAGATTACTATTTTCTGATAAAAGTAACAGTATTGTAAGCTCGTGACAAATGTTATCCAATATCATCTAAACCCACCTGCCATCAGGACTAAATGACACTGAAATTACAGCTTCAGAGTGACCTTACACAGAGAAAAAATAATACCACTTTTTTAAAAATAAATGATTGAAGCTATAATATCTTTACTGTGTTGGAAAAACATTCCATCTCAATAAATGGTCCAAAAAAATCGTATAAGAAAATATATAAAGACCATCATTTATTTTCTTGAATCATAATAAAGAGTTTGGATTAAAACATTTTTAACCTGGTATTGTGCTGGTACATCTAGTGACAGCTCGCACTTTAAACACAGCCTGGGGTTTATATACAATTTCGACAACTTTCTCTGTTTCCAATGTTTGGGTTTCCAAAGTTTCCTTGAGACTGCCAGTAATTTCGGACTCATTCACAAAGAAAGAGTATGGTACACTTTCATCCTGCATTGTAATGAAAAAAAAAACACATTCAAACAAATTGAGCCTCAAGGAAACTTAAAGTAACTGGGATAATTAATCATTGAATCAATCAAAAAAAGTTTATTTCTTTTAATCTACTAAGTGCTTTGTGGTATCTTTCTTCATAAAATTTGATCAATTCAAGAGAGTCCATAGATCTGTAATGATGTTCAAGTGTGGTATACAGCTGTTTGCAGAAAGATTGTCAGAAAAAGCACAGAAGTGCATGCAATAGCCCCAAAAGGCATTTTGGGTAGTTTTCAGGTCACAGTTTCTTGACCTCAGGATTTAACAGAAATCTGAGAAAACACCACTTAAAGGGAGTGGCATGGCAGGTTTCACAACTTTATTTTGGCTTTAAATTCTAAACTTCATGAAAAAGAGAAAAAAAAGAAAGAACTGACCATAATGAAAGATGAAAATGATGTAAACTCAAAGGGGGCAAATTCAAAGTGACCTAAAGAAAAAAATGTTTACAATATAATATTCTATTATTTTGTGCCACTTCTATTCATGTGAATGTTGAATTATCCCCTGTTCATTAGCTCTTATGTCAATATTCATTTGTTTCATAAACTGAAATTCACTGATTACCAGATACTCAGATTTCCTTTCAAGATTGTTTCATGCACTTTGTCCTTTTTTACAAACAACCTTTCTGCAAACAGCTGTGTAGCAAACATCTTACCTTTTGCAGCACTGCATTGCAGACTAATTCTAATTTATCAGGGGTAATATCAAGAGGAAGGTCAAATGGTGTACCAATGAGCTCTCCAAGCTCACTCTTGAACTGTGCAAGAATGCGACCACCTTCACTGTGAATGGAAAATGATGGGAATTTGGTTAAAATGGTTGCATTTTATACAAAGCTCAAATCCCTCTTTCAAAAATCAAACTCCACTAAGTTCTCTTTAAACTGTTCCTACATTAAATTCTCATTATACTTTATTCTTATCATTTTTGTCATAATGTGGTTACTTCTGACAAAGGATCAGATGTTTCAACCACATTTTGCACACCAATGTTCACCTGGCTGTTGGAATCGATGTAATTAAATCCATCACCCTATTGGACAAGATGCTTTGCTATGATTGGCTGGTTTACACAGTTGTGATTGGTGCAGCTGAACCAAAGCTATTTTGCTTACTGCGATTGGTTGGAATACATAAGGGGGCCCACCTGTTAGCAGGCTAGTAGTATTCCTAAATTAAGTTTCGTTTCTCAGTGGCATCAATCATAGTTTTCTAGCTGAGTTAATGTGTGCAGTTCATACAAACTGACTACCACAATGTTAAAAACTTTAACTCCTATAAGTACGTGATTTGCATGAAACCTCGGTCACCAGACAATTTCATCATATTAACCGCTGGGAACAGTGTTGAAAATAGACAAATAACCTGATCTTGATAAAACAGTTAATTCGCTTACAGTGACTGACATGTACAAGAACCCACGATCAGGCATTCTTTCACGAGGGAAGCTTGAAATGTTCAGTCAGAGAGAACGCCTGATCGCCGTTCACAAATCAATAGATAGGTGACATCGAAGAGAGAAATGCTCATCAGATCTTAGAAATAAAAAATTTAGAGAGGCAGACTAACAAGCAGACACTGTTGTGCGCAGGATACAACCTAAAACAAGGAGTCACCTCATTTTGTCCCTCTTGATAAATTTTCTTACTTTCCTCACTTCCACGTGAATTTTCTGTTTACCCTAACCAGCGGTAAAAGTAATTTTCAAGTTACCTCGTTGTGTAATAGTGTTTCGGAGCGTGCGCGTAGGGTTGGCCAACATGGCGACCAATAGCCTTGCACGAGCTCTTGTTCCATCACATTTATCTTTACTGAGACACAGCCTTTTGAGCTACAAGAAGATCAACCTGCATATTTTATCAAGAAATATTCATTACCTTTCTAGGTGCAACTTTTCTAGCGCGGCAACTCAAGTTAAAGAGGTCGATGAGGCGACTGAAAAAAGTGACTCCCGAAAAACGAAAATTCCAGTTTTGGGTGAATTTGAGAACAGAAATCCTCGAAACGAGGAATATTTTGGATTCAACAAACCAAGAGGGTATTCTACACAAGTTTACAGAGTTGATTTCTATAACAAGTAAGTTTGCTTCATCTAATAATGTGGCTTTGTGTGTTGATATTTGGGGCCCATGGCGGTCATCACCAGCTAAATTGTGGAATTTCCCGGGGAACTTGAAAATTGCTTTTTGAAACTGGCCGAATAATATCATTCACAAAAAGAAGATCGCATGACCAACTGATGCTTAATGTCTACTCGGTTCAAGGGGGTCGCATTTTCCTTATTAATTATTTCAGGGAGTGTGGCCACGTACTCTTACTCCCAAGGATATTGTAAAATCAATATGGTTTTTTTTTCATCCACAGACTTAAATTTTTAATAACAAACCGGCATACGCGAGCTCAGGTGGTGCACAACAGTGGATTTGTCCTTGTGTCAGCATCCACCACTGAATTTGAAATCACACGACATCTTTACAAAACTACAGACGTTACTGCAGCAAGGAACATTGGCAGAGTTATTGCACAGAGATGTCTAGAAGCAGGGATAACACGTGTGCGATGGGAAACTAAAAAAGGCGACTTGCGTAAACAAAGGGTAACTGAAGCTGCTCAAATTGTGTACTGTCTTTAATTTGTCATTACTCTTTGTGTGTTTGTTGCTACAGGCATTTGTTACCATAATCTTGTATTTATTTTTCTTATCCCCTTCACCAGTGAACCCTGTCACTCTGAGGATATATGAATGAATCATCTGCATTGTTTGTCAAGCATTTCTAATAATTTGACTTTGAGTGTTTAGTGTTGAGGCGAAGAACATCCTCTAACTGAATTTTTTTCTTTCTTCTCATTACCTGTCTGCTTGAAAGTGAACTGATATTGCACCGTGTAACGAGAAATTCCTTTTTATGTGTGCTTCTGAGGATCTAAGGGCTCCTGCCAAAGATTTTATCCATAATTCTCCCTTCTGGCTTCAATACATTTTGTGGTAAATTACTAAAGAGAATCTGGTGTTATATCAACTTATACTCTCCAGCTGATAGCTTTTTCCATTCTCATCCTCTGAAATGTGGAGAGTGAGTGGAAATTTCAAGGAGAATTTACTTGGGAAAATAAGCTGTTGAAGAAATCCAAGGTAGGGAGTTATGAGTGGAGGAAATGACAGTCAAGTGGTACTTCTATTTACTTTTCTATTGTCCAGACCACTGCCTTCTCAGAGGCTCTTAAGGAAGGAGGTGTCATTCTGAGTGAACCCAAGAAAGTTATACCACCAGAAACATATTATTTAGGTGAGTGGTTGATGGAATGGCAAACAATAATTTAGGAACTAGCACAATGTCCAGGAGACTTATCAAGAGGGTAAGTTTCTAAAGAAATTGTGGTGCTGAGTCAGTGGGATTAACAATGTAATTTTGGTTTTGCCAACTGAGTTGAGAAGGTAAATTGGCCTCCATAAAGAGTTTCAAAGCTGATGTTTCTAGTGTTGGCCCTTTGTCAGAGTGAATGGAGGAATTGTGGGTTGTGTGTGTGATTTTGAAGAGGACCACTTTACTTGTATAAAGAGTTGTCCCTCTTTTTGCATTGTGCAAACATTACCTTTACTTTAATATGATTATTTCACTTCTGCAAGTTTCTTTTCAAGTTTGTTTCGTGGCATAGGCTAATGGTGAAGAGAATACAACTTAGGCTTGCTAGCAGTTATTACCCAGAATCCCATGAACTAAAATTAACCAAAAAATTGAGAGTCAGTTTCATGCAAAGGAAGTGTATTATCCATTTCTGTTTTATTTAGTTTTTTTTGTTGTTGTTTGATTGCAAGTTTCTTTAAGGATTATGATAAATTATCCGGCCGGACCAACACTCAGGGTCTTAAAATAATTGAGAAGTATATGCTACCTTTCTGTAACATCAAGAAATGGTTAGATATTCTTGTCTTCTCGGATAGGGACGAATAAATGGAGGTCCTGTCTCCTGCAGGGTTAGGGGCAGGAGACGTTAATTTCCCACGCACGAGATTACTGTGTGATGGATGTCCTCCCCTGGGGTGGGATGGGTGGGTAACAGGACCCCTGTTGATACCAGTGTTTACTACACTGAAGGGGCTATCCTGTATAAATAAAAATAAAGATATATATATTTTTCAAGTTTTACTCAGAATGTTTGGGTCTCATGAAAGGGTAATTTTGAGCCAGTGAAATTGTCACAAAGGACATGTTTGTGATGTTCTTTTGGCGACAAAACACCAAGAATTTTTTTATTTCTTGTGCTATGGTGTTTCACAATTTTTTCATCTTATCCCTAACAGATTTTAGACCAAAGAAGAAGAGAAAAAAGTGGAGGAAACTGCCTTATTCAAAGAGATGGAAGGCTCACTTAAACAAACCAAAATAATTCTGTTCTTATTTGTCCACTCTGTAAAAAAAAGACTGCATTAAAAAAAGATTACATTTCATGTGATGGTTACTGATGTTGACTGATACCTAACAGAGAAAGAATACAAAGGCTCAATAATTCACAACAGAGTTAACCCTTTCAATTCCACATTTAGTAATTCTTCTTACTGTCTGCCATACAGTTCTTATGATGTTAGTTTGGAGAATTTTGGAGGGGATCAACCTAAAATCCCCTAATTAAAATTTTTTCTTTATTCTCATCACCTGTCTGCTTGGTATTGTATTGAGATTGTAAGGAGAAATTCTGTTTTGGTCGCTCGTGGCAGTTTCAACTAGCTTGATGCAAGTTCTTGAGGGAAAAGCCCAACTACTCTGAAATGAGGGAGGTGCAAGAAGCAAGAGGAAAACAATCACATTTTTGCCTGTATATTACTAACTAGTAATCATGATATTTTATGTGTTTGCAATTAGGGTGAAATCTGTTGTAAATTTTTCAAAAACTACAAACTGCATTTGCCCAACAGGGTTGTGCAATGTGGTTAGCCTTTGAAAAATTCACTCAGGCTTATTTATCAAAGAATGCATTCATTATCATGTGACTACCTACAGGTATACTTTAAGATACCTACCACAAACATCAACCAAACATATTAGTCTTAAATGATGACAATGTTCTCTTTATTTTCAACAACAGTTACATGTAAGTCAAAAAGGAGACAAAAGCTTTCTACCACGTGTTTAAAAAGGATCTGTGGATTCATCAAGACAAAGGCTGGTTTCTAATTAAGATGTCTCTCTGATACTATTTGTACACACCAAAAGGAAGAGCCTAAGGGAACATAGTCGTCTTGACATTTTAGGCTATTTTTAATGGCAATATAAATTATAATTTTTCCAAAGTTCATCCAAAACTATGCAAGTCTGCATAAAAACTAATATGATAGTTATTTTAATGAAGTCTAAGTAGAGAGGCAGTTTTAGACGATCAATGAACCACAAGACTTCTCTATAACAGTAATGTCAATAAGTGTTTTCCTCCAGTAACACCATAAAAAACTGATGGTTAGATTCAACATTGGGCTAAATGGAAGATGGTGTAGAATACAGTTCCAGTAGCGAATGGCTTATCCTGGTTGAAATAACCAGAACATGGTTACAATTCAAACCCCTTGGCTTTGGGTCACAAACAATCATCCATGGAAGACTATGGAATAACCAGTAAGGGGAATTGTAGTCCTCATCATAACAACTGAGCAATTATCAGTTTAGTACATTGCACTACAGCAGACAATGTTTGAAATAACAGCCCTTGACTCCAAAAAAGAAAAAAAAAAAGAAAAGAGTTTCTGCATTTGTAGGGTATCAAAAGGCCAATAAAGCAAAGGAAAATTGTGTTACACATAGAGTTGTTACTCATTTTCAAACACAAGTTCGTAAACACAATAGTACCTTGTATCTCTCTATACAACACAGTTTCTGAATTTTGTTAAAAAAAATCAATGCTACAGCTTAAACCACTCTTCTGACTTCAAAGAATCGTTTCAGGTAGAAAACTTGTCCTAGCGTCATTGCAACAAGCACAAGTGACTCAAAGAAAGACCACCAAACTACACGGCTGTTTGTGTTGTCATTGACTACACAAGGAGAGAAACAAAGAGACCAAAATTAGAAATCTTACAAAAATATTCCACTGAATATTCACCAGATGCAATATACTCACTTGCTCTGTGAATTCTTTCTCTAACTTCCATGTATTCCTGCTCATGTTTCACTCCTGTCATTGCCTCGGATAATTGTCCAATCATTTCACTGAGCTTATCATGATGTGCACCTAGTGAAGATGACAAAAAATTCTAAACCCCCTAGGAAGAAAACCTTTGCAATCTTTGGAAACTGTACAATTTAATCCAGTGCACCCTGCATGTATTAGTTGGGGGAAAGAGAGCTTCTCAGCACTGACACTTTTTCTTTGAATAAGAGGGAATTTAGGAGCATACTCCCCCAGGAAAATTCTAAAACTCTCTGAAATGATTTTTTGCAGCATTCTGGGATAAATTTGAGTAATTTTTTTTAGCCCAGAGATTGATGTTAGAATCAGTTCAAAAATACACATTTTCTGATTTCTGATCACAATTAACAAAGGAGCCAGCACAAAATGGTATGACAGCTGGAGGGTTTCTACATACTACAGTCTTCTAATGACAACCCTGAAATGCAGTTGGCAGATCATGCCACCATAAAAGTGTAACTAACAGAGGTTCTACTCCACTTTATGATCATTTAAATGTTTTCACTGCAACATGCCAGTGACAACTGTTGAGTTCTTTCAATTCAACTGACTCCTCTCACCTTCTTCTTTACTGGTGTCCTTAGGTGGCTCTCCCAAGTCCATGGAAAACTTGACTATTTTTGGTGTCATTGAAGACATTTTGTTGCTAAAACAGTAATGATAAGTGCCATCCATGTAAGCAGCAAATGCATACTTTCCATTAGTCTCCCTTTCTCCAGTGTAAATAACCTTTTGATCTGGACCAGTTATCTGTAATGTCAAATAGTAATCATCAAAAAAATATTAGCTTAATTTTTGACAAGTCTGCATGTGTATGTTATAACCCAATAAGGATGAAGGATCCTAATGTTTTTAAACCTGATGAAGAATTTCAAGTAGTCCTTTCTTAGGCCACTTTTTGTGTTGGTTAAGTTGTTTCAGAACGTGTAAATTCTGATTCTAAACAATTCCTGCAGGTGACACAAATCAACCTTTAACAACATCGCTCCTCACAAACATTAGAGAAAAACAACAATTAAACAAAGGCTGACTTAAAACTTCCCAAGGCAGAGACAGCAGAACAAAATTTAGTTTTGCTTGGCATGGTTTGACAGTTCGGTGTTAGCTTCTATGGAAGGCTGTCCACCTCTGCTGTCCTTGCATCAATTTTAGTTCAGAGGCTATTGTTTGCAGAGTAAGTAAGGTTGAAACTGGAAAGTAGTACTATTTTTTAGAAATTGAGGCAGAGCCAGGATGAGAATTGTTAAAATACAGTGAAAACGTTCTCTGGCCAAAAGTTTTAGAAAACATAAGCTTTCGGCTGTCGATCTACAGCCTTCCACGGATAAAACATGAAATGCAAATTAGTAAAATATATACAAAAAGCTAGATAAAGGTGATAAGAAGAACAAAGTAAAAATAGCCACCCTTTCCATATTTTACTTTGTTCTTCTTATCACCTTTATCTCCCTTTTTGTATATATTTTACTAAATTGCATTTCATGTTTTATCCGTGGAGGGCTATGGATCGACAGCCAAAGCTTACGTTTTCTAAAACTTTCGGTCAGAGAATGTTTTCACTGTATTTTAATGTGTAGTGTTTTTTTTAGGACGTTACCTATCTTTAATTGAGTGCTACAAGTTCATCTTGGGTTACTATCATTTGAATTTTTATGATTTCTTAGAATTCTCAAAAGTTAAGTCCACAAGAGCGAATCACCCCTTTAAATTGTATGTTAAAAACCCAAGACTTAATTGTTATATGTATTCTTTTCTTTATTGGCATAGTCCCAATATGGAATGATCTTCCAAGAGACTTAGTACAGGCTGAAGGCCTTTATCATTTTAAAAATAAGCTTCATCATTATCTACTTAATAAATTTTAAACTAGAACCATGTTTCAACTAACGTCTAGATTTTTGAATGATGGAATTGTATTTTCATGTTATTATTTTGCATTTTCTATTTCTGTTTGGGAGTTTCAATATAGGGCTAACCTCTTAACTCCCTTTTCAGATGTTTCTATTTAACACTATGTTTTTTTTCCTGTAATTAAGCTTGTTTACATCTTGAATAAAGTTAGTACGTTATGTTATGTTAGTATGTGAACCTAGCAGTTAAGTCCACATTCAACACCTACCTATACATTATTCTGTAGAGAACATTCATGTACCAGTAAGCATTAACATAGACATGTACTTGAACTGAAACTACATGTGCATTTTAAGTTGAAGACGAGCTATAACTGCAAACTAATAAATTGAGCTCAAACATTTATCAGGTATGCGATCTAAGTCTGTTTACATCAACTCCAAAGAGTTCTACTGTAATTTAATATTGCATGACACTTGATTGATAATAATTAAGGAGACCATTTGCTTTAATCTTTTTCAATTGCTTTACGCTGTGGATGTACACATTTTACTGTTTCTGAGAAATGACCTACTGATTGAACACATCTTACGCGGTTCAAACAAAAAAAATAGAAGCATTCATAAGCTTAAAATTTTACTGTTTACCGTAACATCGATGTCCAAAAAGCCACCCTCAGCTACTTCAAATATAAGCCCCATCTTTGTCCCTGATGTTACTTGATCGTGAAAACATTCCTCTGCGTGTGCATCTATCGTTATAAAATAACCATACGAGCTCTCCAACTGAAGCACCAGTGATATAGAACACAACACTAAAGGTATAAAAGCCATATTGGTTCCTAAAGTATATCTACAGTTTTCTGCAATTAATAAGAGGTCCACATGAAATTGTCTTTTGTCCAAACGCCACGTCGGATAACCCAGACGAGTTGAGCGCATGCGCCATCAAAATAATTAGCTCGCAGGGAGTTGTGGGAATTTCTAGTAAAGCCTGACCTCGGTGTGAGGAAATATTCGGGGGGAGCCTAGCTTCATTAAGAAGCAGGGTTGCGACGTCACAACGTCACAACATGGCGGACAGCATGCATGATTCGTAGTGTGAACGTCTGCGTCAAGCTATTCATCCAATTTGCTAAGAACGTGAACTTCTTTTCAGGTTATTGAATGTCCTGTCGTTTAAATTTGAATTAAGCCGTGCATTTTATTTGGCGGGTTATAACCTGTTTCCTCTTGCAATTTTGTTTGAAGGGCTCTGATCTGCAGTGAAACCGCCAGCATGGCGGCGTGGGGCCAACCCGCCGTTGCAGGGTTACCAGCTGAAATAACTGAAGAAAAACTTCAGGATAAAGGTAATATAGCGCAACTATTCTGGCTTGTTCTGCATGCTCGAATGCATAACCCTTGATGCCAATCAGAAACTAACTTTTTAACCTCATGTTCACATTGTCAGATCAGTCATTCGATCAGTGAGCTTTTGTAGTGTTATTAACTGTCGCTTACACATTTTCGAAATTACCCGTGTCTCTTCTTAAGGAAACCGATATTGATTTTAGAGCTGTTTTGCTTTTTCTTTGTTGTACTCGGAGTATATTGAATTAGTTGGGTTCGTTCACAGTTCATTGTTTCATCATTGTATTACAGTAACATTTAAACTGGCAGACTTTCGAACTTTTTAGTTCTTCTTTTTCCTGGAGCCACAGTGGCTGTGTAGTCTGTTCGTTGTTCTCAAAATGCTATCATAACCATCAAGTTGGCTCATTTCAATAATGCCCAACAACTGAACCTTTTGTATTTTGTGACTTTCCTTCTACTTTATTATGCACCATGTCAGGTTATTGAATGGTCAAGATTCTTGATAGATAATTGTACTGAACTTTAAACAAAGATCACTTACATCATTTAAAATCAGATAAAATGTGAGAACTACTGAAAAAATTGTTGTCACTGACCAACAAGGTTCACCCATGTTATTCAAAACCACAACCGTGCGATATTTGCTTTTTTATCAAACTATTTTTAGCCCGAAAATGGCAGCAACTCCAGTCAAAGAGATACAGCGAAAAAAGAAAGTTTGGATTTGTGGAGGCACAAAAAGAAGACATGCCTCCAGAGCATGTTAGGAAGATCATTCGAGATCATGGTGACATGTCCAGCAGAAAATATCGACATGATAAGCGGGTGTACTTAGGGTAAGAAAACTTAAGCCTTCAAGTTTTAAAATTGAATGCAATAATTTACTTATTCTTGGTTTTCACGTGACATCATCAGAATTAGATAATAAGGAATTATCAATCCTTTTGAAATTTTAGTGTAGTTTTGTTTATACACGAAATGGTATAAACTTGAGTAAAACAGTTCTTCAAGCATCTCCCACACAAAACATTACACAGACCTGAATCTTTGGAAGACTGTTAGAATATTCATGTTCTTTTATATCTTTGATTTTCTACTTTATTTGTTGTTTGGCTTTGATGATGGTGTGACAGTGAAAACTGGCAACGTACTGTTACAATTGTCACTTACAGGTTCTCTTTATAGTAACATGCACTTCTTGTGTTTGGATTTTAGTGCACTGAAATACATGCCTCATGCAGTGCTGAAGTTACTTGAGAACATGCCTATGCCTTGGGAGCAGATTCGAGATGTGAAAGTTCTTTATCATATCACTGGAGCTATCACATTTGTGAATGAGATTCCATGGGTTGTAGAACCTGTCTATTTGGCCCAGTGGGGGTAAGTTCAAGATATTATTACTTGAAAGCTTTGTCAACAAAACTACTTCAAAATTTTTTTTGTGAGCCCTATCTCGAGTCTCCTTTACCAGAAGGATATTTTGTGAAACATCGTAGAACTTTCCTTGCAGAAGGAAATCTCGCAGCTTTAAACCATAAACTTTTACCTTATGTTTTACATTTGTATAAAATGATATATTTTTTTACATGACTACTGAGTAGAGGTCACCAAATTAGTGCCTTTCAACACAAGTTTAGTCATCAATATTTTTTTTTTTACTTCCCATGGGAACTGAAATGGTTGCAGCTTAGATACTGTCATGGTTGTGTTTAAATAATAGAGTAGGTGCACAGTTACATGTAGGTAAGGAAAGGTAATCCACCTAAAAGATGGGGACTGTTGAATCTATGGGAGAAAATGCTCTCAAATTATCAAGATCAAAAGATAAATTTTATAAAATCAAAGAGTGTCACAAAGGTTGGAGAAAAATTGGGCATAAAGATGTCTTGGACTGATTTTCATCAAGTTATGCCAACATAAATAAGGAATATTATGATTCAGTTTCTCTTAATGGCATGACTGATAAAATGTACAACTGGACATTACTTTTATCTAGCACTATGTGGATCATGATGCGTCGTGAGAAGAGAGACAGAAGACATTTCAAGAGAATGAGGTTCCCTCCATTTGACGATGAAGAGCCGCCTCTGGATTACGCTGATAACATCCTGGATGTTGAACCTCTTGAGCCAATCCAGATTGAGTTAGATCCTGAAGAAGATGGAAGTGTTTATGAGTGGTTTTATGAACACAATCCCCTCGTCGATACCAAGTAAGGACTTTGTATGTCTGTGACTGTTGTTATAGTCATAATGAATCCTCCAAAAAAAAAGAATTTGCAAGAACAGAAACTTGAGGAAATAGCTGTCCTTGGGCACAGTTTGTTAGATCTCTTTCCCTTCAAGAAAACTGCAGAATTAGTGTAGTTTTAGACACAAGTAATGGTGGTTTTGTCTGATTTGTGACTTAACCTTTTGACTCCCAGGCATGGCTTAATACAGAATTTCTCCTTACAATACCAATACAAAATCAAGCAGAAAATGGATTGGAATTGAGAAAATATCAGTCAGGGTATTCTTGATTGATCTATACCAAATTCTCTAAACTAAAATCATAAGAATTATATAACAGGCAGTAAGGAGAATTACTACTGGGATCTTGATAGTGCAAGGGTTAAGTGAAAAGTCATGCTTCCTTTATCAAGACAATTCTGCTTTTCCTTTAAGAATGGTCAATGGATCTTCGTACAGAAAGTGGAACATCACCCTACCAATCATGTCTACACTTTACCGTCTGGGAAACCAACTTCTGACTGATTTGGTAGATGACAACTACTTTTACTTGTATGATTTGAAGGCATTTTTCACGGCTAAAGCTTTGAATGTTGCCATTCCTGGAGGACCAAAATTTGAGCCTCTAGTGCGAGATGTCAATGTTCACGATGAAGACTGGAATGAATTTAATGACATAAACAAGATCATCATTCGGCAGCCTGTGAGGACAGAGTACAGAATTGCTTTCCCTTATCTGTTCAACAGTTTGCCATACAAAGTGCATCTGCCCTGGTGAGTTGGTTCACCCTTTATGGCCCCTAAAAGTGTAAAGGATAAGATGCATGATAATTACTGTACATGAAACTCAAACTGAGTGACTGCTTCCAAAACAAGTTGAAGCAACACATTTTCTCCCTATAATCATATGGATATATTTAAACTATTTTTAATTTGTGAGACTGGTTTTTGAAACAAAAAACTGTCCCCATAACATAGCTTTCAAAAGATATTGACTCAGAGATCTGTTCTCTCCTGGGTCTTGTGTCCTGTTTTGTGCCAGCAATAAAAGATACTTGTACTTGTTGGATGTTTTGTCTTTCTTTGCCACCAGATGCGGGTAACAGCAACGCTAAAGATTGTTGATTGTTGTTTGGATTGGTGGCTAAAGAAAGTGGTTCAAGTCACTGCTGCAAGTCTATGGATTAAGCAGCCATAGACTGCTCTTTGATCCAAACACATACATAATGGATGACCAGAATGTCAGAACTTTATTTTCAGGCACCTTTTCAGGGTCATTTAAACCTCTGAAAACACACAATTTTAACATTTAAGATTAAGGGACCTATCTTTGGAAGTGATAGTGATACTCGACAACTGAATGTTGCATCAACAGTTTGTGTTGCACAGTTGTAAAACAGGTAGATGTATCTTGAACTTAATTCTTTGTTTTTGTTAGGTATCACCATCCCTCAGTTGTTTACATAAAAACAGAGGACCCTGATCTGCCAGCATTTTACTTTGATCCCCTTGTGAATCCAATTGCCCACAGGCATGCTGTCAAGGTACTTGGGTTTACTATCTGGTTATTTGAATCTTCTTGCACATTGTGATCATCTGGGTGAACTAAATAATGACTTCTTTACAAATACTCTAGAAATGAGTTCCACTCAGGATGTGGTAACCTTGGTCACAATCATTAACAATGATAGCTGTTTTCATGATTACTCTTTCTTTTATGAGCATAGTCAGCCTAAACAATAAAACAAAGTTAATTGACAAAGAACTTTTAAACCCCTTAACTGCTAACCCCACTGAGAAGTCTTGTACCAACACAAATTGACTTGTTGTTTTCCAGAAATTTTACTTTTGTTGAGTTTTAGAGACTGGGCTATTTTACATTTGCAGTGCCAGAGATTTGACTGGTACTCTCTAACCATTTAGATAATGAGTAGATTCTGTAGGCACGCACATTGCAAATGGCGTGATGTACTCAGGATGTCAGGCAGGCAATAATGTGGTTCAAAATTGTTGTATCATTGAAACTTTCATTCAAATTTAGTGGGGGGTTTAATGAAGAATTCAACTGGTGGCTAGATTTCTTCTCAGTTTGGTAGCAGATGTTCCTTAGCAGTTCTTATTAGTGGCTGTTCTTAAGTGCTTGCCCTACCCACCCCACCCCACCCTCCCTTTTTTCCCTTCCACTGTTATGGTGCCTGATAAGGAGCTCATGAAAAGGTTACAAAGATTTGCTAGTTATTGAGACAGTATTCTATCTGGCTGTCTCTAGCAGAAACTTATGGATGTCTTAAGCACCCACTTTCTAAAAAAAGTGATACCGGGTTTAATCTTTAAACTCCCAATATCTGATTGTTCATTCTTCCCTCTTGCTACTACACATTTCCTTTTTAATTAATTATAAGATTATGATGTTAAGTCAATATTACAACTTCTGTCCGTAAATTTGAGTATTCTCATGACCTGTTTGCTGAATAATGTATGGATATTACATGGAGAAGTTACATGTTAATCACTTCTGGAAGTTTAAGGGTTGATTACTAAATTCTCCTAACCAGGAGCACAATTTCTATTAATACACTTAAAGGAAAGCTAGGAAATTTTTTATACCCGTTGTTTTGTTGTGTTAGACAACAGAACCACTACCTGATGATGATGAAGAGTTTGAACTACCTGAAGAAATCCAGCCATTCCTGCAAGACACACCACTGTACACAGATAACACAGCAAATGGTTAGCTTTACTTTTATCTTGCTCAAAATCTTTTTTTTTTTTCAGTCTGTAGAGGTCCGTGAGTAGTTAGAATGCATTTTATATAAGCTGCTCCTACAGTTGTAACATTTTTTTTGCTGGTTTATTTTTAAGGTATTGCTTTGCTCTGGGCCCCCAGACCATTCTGCTTGAGATCTGCTCGGACTCGTCGAGCCATTGATATACCACTGGTTAAGACTTGGTAAGTATTCATAAACCATGATTAAACAATTTGAATGTTCTGTTCAAGTGTGAGTGGTTACCATCAACAACTGCAGTTTGTGTGTAAAATAGGAGTATTTTGTTAAGTAATGATTAAAAATCTGAAAGTGGTTTTACTCTTAAATGAATAAAGGCTGATAGCTTCTAAAGAAACTGTTTGGGGCTGCATCGGTGGGGGCAACGAAATAATTTGAATATATCAACAAAGTTGAAATGGTAAATTGGACACCGTTACGATTAAAAAAGCTGATGTTTCGAGTGTTAGCCCTTCGTGGGAGTGAATGGCGAAGGGCTAACGACGAAGGGCTCTGACGAAGGGCTAACACTCAAAACATCAGCTTTTATAATCGTAACGGTGGCCAATTTACCATTTCAACTTTGTTGATATATTCAAATTACTCTTAAATGGTTACACGCCCAAGGGTTCACAATCGTAGTTAGTCAAGGGCTAGTGGTAATATACTGCCTATACCTGTTCTCGTTGCTATTTTGATTTTAAGATTTTTGTTTAGGAAATATTTCAGATAGAGAATAATCTCCAGTATTGTTGATGTTATTCAGGTATCGTGAACACTGTCCATCTGCTCACCCAGTTAAGGTGCGGGTATCATATCAAAAGCTTCTCAAGTGCTATGTTTTGAATGCACTGAAACACAGAGCACCAAAAGCACAAAAGAAAAGGTAGAATTACTCATATTTCATTTCTATGCCTGTTTTGCATACTAATAATGTATGTAAAAATCATTCCATGTCAGATGTTCACAGCTCCATCTATGAAAGCTAACACTTTTGGATTTGAAGTTAGCTGAAGGCACACTGTTTGTGTTGCTTTAACTTGGGTACTGTGGGATTTCAAGGTCTGGACACCATCTTGGACTGGAGGACCATTTGCCTTGATTTCATACAAGAGCCTTGAATCCCAGAAGCTAAGTCAAGTCCTACAGGTTGACTCACACTAAGTGAGCTACAGCAAAACTCAATATGACAATGTGTACAATTTTGTTCTTCTATATTCATTTTTGACCATTTTCATTGTATTTTTGGTTTCAGATATTTGTTCAGATCCTTCAAAGCGACAAAGTTCTTTCAAACAACAACTCTTGACTGGGTGGAAGTAGGACTTCAAGTGTGCCGGCAAGGCTACAACATGCTGAATCTACTGATCCACAGAAAGAATCTAAACTACCTCCATTTGGATTACAACTTCAATCTGAAGCCAGTTAAGACTCTTACCACAAAGGAAAGAAAGAAGTCCAGATTTGGAAATGCTTTCCATCTTTGTCGGGAGATTCTGCGACTCACAAAGCTGGTAATAGATTCCCATGTGCAGTACAGATTGGGCAATGTGGACAGTTTTCAGGTTAGTCCAGAAAATGTAGTTAGTGTAATGAAGAAAAATGTGGCACTTTTTTCACTGGTTTTTTAGTTGAGGAGTAATATATTTTCTGTTGTCGCTGGCTTATGATATTTAAACTGAGTTAGTTATATCTTTCTTTACTCAACCACCAATCTCAAACGTTCCTTGTCTCTCTTACTCTGCACTCTTACGCACACAAGACACTTACAGACTTACAGATAGAGAATCCTGGCAGCATACAGAACTCAATGGGAAGAGATGGCTCACTTTCCAGGGCTGTGACCTGGGTTTGACTCCTAGACTTGGCCTCACATTTGTGTTGCAGTTGCTGTTGGTTCTCATCCTTGCTCCCAGGGTTTTTCTCCAGGTCCACTGGGTTTTCCACCCTCCACAAAAAAAACAAAATTATAATTTAACCTGGAAAGTCTGGAAATGGTAAACAAGAAGAGCCACCTCTTGGAATGTGCTCTGCTAAGTTCCCATTTGCTATCCCATTCCAATTCCCAGTCACGTTTGAACTTAATGTAGGGACTAACTCGCATGTGAGGACTTTCTTGTATGTATTGATTGTGTAGCTTTTTTTTTTTTAACAGCTTGCTGATGGTCTGCAGTACACCTTTGCTCATGTTGGTCAGTTGACTGGAATGTACAGATACAAGTACAAGCTTATGAGACAAATCAGAATGTGTAAAGACATCAAACATCTCATCTACTACAGATTTAACACTGTAAGTTTTGGTACATCTTTTTCTCATAATGATAAGTATACCAATATTACTTTCTGCTGTGGAATTGAAAACCTGCAAGTGAACCTGAAGATGAGATTCACAGTTTGTACTGGTCCTGAAAAACCTGGAAAGACCTGAAAATCTGGAATTCTGTATTGAATTAAAAGTGGTTGATATTCCCTTTACTCTCATCACTTGTTATGTTGATATTATTGGAAAATATTAGTCAATACTGAGAGTTTTAAGGGTTAATGCAAATTTTTGGAGTCTTGGAAAATATCAATCTGAGACCTTAACAAGTCATGCTTCCAATTAAGGGTGCAAACCCCGAATATTGGCACTATAAAATTTACAGACAGTTATATCTTTGTTACAGGGACCAGTTGGGAAGGGTCCAGGATGCGGATTATGGGCACCTGGCTGGAGGGTGTGGCTTTTCTTTCTGCGCGGTGTTGTGCCCCTCCTAGAACGTTGGCTTGGTAACCTTCTAGCCAGGCAGTTTGAAGGCAGACACTCCAAGGGTGTGGCCAAAACAGTTACTAAGCAGCGAGTGGAAAGCCACTTTGATTTGGAGTTACGAGCAGCTGTCATGCATGACATCCTTGACATGATGCCAGAGGGTATTAAGCAGAACAAGGCCAGAGTCATTCTGCAGCATCTGAGTGAAGCCTGGAGATGCTGGAAAGCTAATATTCCCTGGAAGGTAGGAACTGTGAAAGGGCTTGAGTTTTATTTGTTTCTGAGAGTAGTGATAAACTTCAAAAGAACATAAGGCTAGTTTTCTCTGGCGTCCCTCTTGTGTATTCTTAACCCTGACGCTGTTCACTTTTATTTCCACAATCCCTCCTCTGATGCAGGAGATGAACTGTCAAGTTGTTAGAGTTACATTTTAAAAGTACAGTATTCAAATGGTTTTTGCATAATTCCCTTTGGTGAAGTCTGTTTACGAGCCTAGTGGCCCATCAGGCCCGTGCTTAACTCTGGTTTCTGTAGCATGAAGCGACTAAGGGTATTTCTACTTCCCCCTGGATGGGATGCTAGTCCATCGCAGGGTTACCCGCTCAAGCATTAATTTTGCCAGTACCCATTTATACACCTGGGTGAAGAGAGGCACTGTGAGAGTAAAGTGTCTTGCCTAAGAACACAACACAATGTCTCCAGCCAGGGCTCGAACCGGAACCACTCGATACGGAGTCGAGGGCACCAACCACGAGGCCACCGCGCCTCCACATAATTCCCTTTAAGGAAGAGAAATAATACTTCTTTCCCCTTCTACTAAAACCATTTGCAAAAGTTGTCGAGACACTCACTTACAGTGTAAAACAGCCTTTGCACAAAAATGTGTTCACAGTAATTAATCTGTTCAATAAAATACACAGCCTTCCCCTCTCCTGCATTTGTTCACGTTAGGGGAGGACAAGAAATTAAATGCTTAGACCTGTTTTATACCAACAAGAAACTCTCGTTGTCTTATTATTTGAAAGAAGACAAAATCAAATGTAGCTTCAGACCATTCTGCAGTGAAGCTGACAAAAATGTTGTGTTTCATCAGGTGCCTGGCCTTCCAACACCAGTGGAGAACATGATTTTGCGTTACGTCAAAGCCAAGGCTGATTGGTGGACAAACACAGCTCACTACAACAGGGAACGTATCCGCCGTGGTGCCACAGTCGATAAAACTGTTTGTAAGAAAAATCTTGGACGTCTGACAAGACTCTATCTCAAAGCTGAACAAGAAAGACAGCATAATTACCTAAAGGTGTGCATTCTTCTTTAGAAAGACTTGATATTTTTGGATATTGTGGGAATGCATTTCTTACAACAGCTATCTGAAACATATTTTTATATTTTTAACTAGGTTTAAGATTACTACACTCTACAGAATTCTGCTGTAAAGTGACATTTGAGGTCAATTTTATGGAGAAATAATCTGTTAACCCTTTAAAAAAATGATATACATTTCCATAGACCTGATGAGTTGGGTCAGTTGTTTTGGTCATTCCAGATGTTTCAGTTCTCTTTTCTAAAATGAAATTGTTGACAAGGGGCTAATGCTTGAAATGTCAGCTTTGGAAACCCTCTACCATGGCCAATTTCACATAATCCACCCAGTTGATGAAACAGAATCATTTAGTAATACCCCCTCACTCCCACTGACACAGCAGTACAGTTTCTGTAGAAACTTACCCCCTTCATTCAGAGGGTCAGTGTTCTGAGCATTGTCTCAGTACCCCTCTCCACCCATAATTATACCTGTACATGTTACCATCACACCCAAGGAAACTTAGCTAAACATTGGCAAGTTACCTCTGGTAGACAAAGGAAATGTCCAGCAGAAGTAGAAGCTGCTAAATGCAGAGAGAACAGGAATAAACTCTGGCCATTGTAGGACACTGAGCTAAAACTTTTGAAACTTGACATATCAAAAATATTAAATGATTTCTCAAATGTTCCCATTTGACAGGATGGTCCTTACATCTCTGCTGAGGAAGCAGTTGCAATCTACACGACAACAGTTCATTGGCTGGAGAGCAGGAGGTTCTCACCAATCCCATTCCCTCCTCTGTCGTACAAGCATGACACCAAACTGCTCATTCTAGCTCTGGAGAGACTCAAGGAAGCATACAGGTGTGATCAAAGTCTTAACCAATTGTAGCCTTGTTCTTCTGATTCCATGTTACTAGTGTTCTGTTAATTTTATGAACATTTCCTCCCTAACATGTTTTCTTCTATTATTATTTTTAGTGTAAAAAGTCGTTTGAACCAGTCGCAGAGGGAAGAGTTGGGACTGATTGAACAAGCATACGACAACCCTCATGAGGCACTCAGCAGAATCAAGCGTCATTTACTAACACAGAGAGCTTTTAAAGAGGTAAAGCCCCAACCATTTTAGGCCATTTGCGGAAACTAATTGTCAGTCGAGTAACCATGCTTGACAGACAGCTAATTAGGAGGTTGAGGCGTTCAAGCCCTAAACTGGACTAACACTCTGAGTTTTTTTGTATGGTATTAAATATATTAATCAGTAGTTTCACTAGCAACCTTTGTGGCTTCCCTTGGTTTTGATGTATGGGATCCCATGAAAATGGGTGCCCACTCCACCAATGAGCAAACTGGACTAACACTCTGAGTTTTAAGATAAGTGAGGTGACTCCTGCTGCCTTAGATATGACATCAGCAAATGGTTGGACGTTCTAGTCTTCTCAGATGAGGGTGATAAACCGTAAGCCCTACCTCCTGCATCTTCTCTGTACTGGTTAGTAGGGGGGATGTTGAAGAACCCATACACTTCTCAAAAAGAGTAGGGAAAGGAGCTCTTGGTGTTGTGTGCTGGCCATTCTATTGTTTATACAAACCCTAATTTAAGCCAGCTTTAAAGGTGAACTGGGCCAACCTGTTAAATGTCACAAATAGATAATTATATAAAATAAATGAGACAGTCACAAACTGAACAGCTCGTGGTTTGGTGTTATACTACCTTCAGGTCGGCATTGAGTTCATGGACTTGTACAGCCATCTTATCCCAGTGTACGATGTTGAGCCATTGGAGAAAATCACAGATGCCTACCTAGACCAATATTTATGGTATGAAGCTGACAAGAGACGTCTGTTTCCCCCATGGGTCAAGCCATCAGACACTGAACCACCTCCACTTCTTACATACAAATGGTGCCAAGGTATGTACATGTACATCAAGCTTATTAAAGAAATGCGTGCTTCTTGTAATTTCTTTGAGAAGAAAGGGGCGATAGAGAGTCCTAAATTCATGAAAAAGTCTGGACATTTACAGTCTCGTTTTCAAGACATGGGAATAAAATGTAAAAATATAAGTTATTTTGTTTTTTTTTTTTTTGCTTTCCTTTTTGAAGCTCCAACAGATGATGTCAAATTTCTTTTTTTTTTTTTTTTTTTGCTTTCCTTTTTGAAGCTCCAACAGATGATGTCAAATTTCTTGCTGAGATCTTTGCCACCGCCTAAATCACCTGAACCAAAATTTAGCATTATTGTTATCTGAAAATTTTCAATTGGGAGAAAACTGTTGGCTGCAACTTTGGTTTATGCTTTGTATTGGGGTTACTTTTTCATTGCATTGCATCAGCCCATATGAAAGTAATCCTGAAATGGAAAATAGTGGTTTTGGAAAAAGTAAAAAAAAAAAAAAAAGATCAGAATTTTTCACTCAAAAATGCCCTTTTAGTAAAAGCTGTCCAAAAGAAATCTTTGCTTTCTTTCCTCACAGGAATCAACAACTTGCAAGATGTCTGGGAGACGTCTGAAGGAGAATGCAATGTTATGATGGAGTCTAACTTTGAAAAGATGTACGAGAAGATTGATTTGACTTTGCTGAATCGACTGCTGCGTCTGATTGTTGATCACAACATTGCTGATTACATGACGGCAAAGAACAACATTGTGATCAATTACAAGGTCGGTGTGCTCCGAAGACTACCCTTACCTAAACAGTCACGCTACATAACCAATGATTATATACAGATTCAAACCATTCCCTGTGTTGAAAGCTTTTCTTTATATCTAACAGGACATGAATCACACCAACTCCTATGGCATCATCCGTGGTCTGCAGTTTGCGTCATTCATCGTGCAGTACTATGGGTTGGTGATGGATCTTCTGGTGTTGGGTCTACAGAGAGCGAGTGAAATGGCTGGACCTCCACAGATGCCAAAGGATTTCTTGACTTTCCAAGATGTACAGACAGAGTCGCAGCATCCCATCAGTTTGTACTCGAGATACATTGACAAAGTTCACATTTTCTTCAGGTAGTTGTTCGTAATTTTCTTGTTTGTAAGTCTCAATTCTCAATTTTTTCCTTAATGTGAAAGAGGCTGTTAAAAAGCTATGTGGCCCTCAGTATTAGTTGTTCTTGTAACTTGTCACGTTTGAAGAGTTTTAATACTAGAAGTGGAAAGAGCATGGTGAAATAAGGGTGATTTCTAATTTTTTTGGTCACTGACATTTTACCTGCAAGATTTTTAGACAACTTGAAACTTTCACAAGTTTTAAACGTTATGTATACTTAGGAGCAAAGGTCGCCGATCTTGTCAATCTTTTCAACTTTCAAATAACCTTTAAATCTTTCTTTATGGAGTCAGTGGCCTCGAAAGTGGGAGATTCTACTACCATTGGCCTGCTCTTTCAATTTTTTTAATCCGTTTTTGCTCTGTGACTACTTTTTGGATGGACGAGGTGACTTATTTTTATGGGTAAATATTCCTCAACTGAGAAACTTGAGAGACGAAAGCTAAGTGCTACTAGCTCAAAAGCCAGGTTTGCTTGGTATTACAGCAACTTTGAATTGTGTTTCAGGTTTACAGCAGATGAAGCTCGTGATCTGATCCAGCGTTACTTGACAGAGCATCCTGACCCAAATAATGAAAACATTGTAGGCTACAACAACAGGAAATGCTGGCCCAGGGATGCCCGCATGAGGCTCATGAAGCATGACGTCAATCTTGGGCGTGCTGTGTTCTGGGACATAAAGAACCGCTTGCCAAGATCTGTGACAACACTCAACTGGGATGAAAGTTTTGTGTCTGTCTACAGCAAAGACAATCCAAATCTGTTGTTTAACATGTGTGGCTTTGAATGCCGCATTCTTCCAAAATGTCGCACAACATTTGAGGAATTCACTCACAGGGATGGAGTTTGGAACTTGCAAAATGAGGTACACACCGTAGATGGATGAAAATGGCCGGATTTGCCATGTATTAGCTTTTCATTTGTTGACAATCGGCATGGATATTTTATTTTTTAGACTTGACTGATCATCATTACCCGTCTGTTACACAACTTAATGAGGCTATATTGATCTTTAACCCTTTAACTCCCGGGAGTGATTAACCTCTAACTTCTCCCTATAATATCTATATGTTATTCGGTAAACAAGTAAAGAGAATACTCAAATTTCTCAGGTTGAGGCCATTATCTCGATCTATCGTTAAATTCTCGCAACAAATTTACAAGGAAATGTGTAGCAGCTAGAGGAGAGAATTAGCAATCAGATCTTAGTAAAACAGAGCGAAGTAGTAAACGGCGCGATAGCAGAGAAGTGAAAAAACGAGGGAGGCTTGGGTACAGGTCACATGAATTACGCGACTCGACCCAAACCGCCATCGTTTTCGCCTTTTCGCTTCTGTCGCACCGGATTGCTATTTTGCTCCGTTTTAGGTACTGAACGGTTGGGAGAGGCTAGCCTGTCAAAGTCGAATCAAAGTTTGTGATGGGCTTAAATACCTTTAGTTATAACTTAATAGATATTAGCTCAATAAAATTAAAAAAAAAAAAAAAACACAAAAGAAGCAAAAATGGGGGTAAGGATACCGGGCTCAGACGGAGATGATTATAAGACATTGCAAATGAAGTTGCTTTGAACGTGCAATGAATTAAATTGATATAATTTTCTGTGATGACAGGTCACTAAAGAGCGAACTGCTCAGTGCTTCCTCAAGGTTGATGATGAGTCTCAGCAGCGATTCCACAACAGAGTTCGTCAAATCTTGATGGCGTCTGGTTCCACTACGTTGACCAAGATTGTGAACAAATGGAACACGGCTTTGATTGGTTTGATGACTTATTACAGGGAATCAGTCGTCAATACTCAAGAGCTGCTGGATTTGTTGGTGAAATGCGAAAACAAGGTATCTAGTTACAGTTGTAAGTCCTTCCTTCAAAAACACCGCTTACGCGAATTGCCACGGAATAGGTGACATAGTTCAAGATAGAAGTGGACTGCAAGTTAAATGATCTTAACAGACAAAAAAAAAATACCTCGAGAGAATTGTGATTAGGTTTTTGATAGTGACAAGCTGCAACTAACCAAGCTAGAGTTAGTGAGTGTCTCTTAGAGCGCTTTTCAATCGAGTGTTGAAAAATTAAAACTAAAGTAATCATAACGGCCAATCCGAAGAAAGGAAAAGACATTCAAGAACCAATGAGAACTCAAAGTTAAACCAACCAAACTGCCTGAAGCGCGGGAAAACGCGGCGACCAAGTTTTAATATTTGCATCTGATTGGTTGAGAGTGTGGCGCGAGTTTTCTGGATCAATCACAGCGCGAAGTAAAGCAAAACCAATGAAATCCGGAATTACTTTCGATGCTTTCCCATTTGTGTTGTCACACGCACTATTATTTTTATTTAACTAAACACTGCAAGCAACTACAGTAAGTTTTTATTGGAAAGCATTTTTTCTCTTGAGTACTGACTATGTATTCATTTTCGTTGAGGTTCTTTTTATCATAAATGTGCTTCCTCATATTGAAGTGTTTTATTTTAATTAATTTCCAGATCCAAACTCGTATCAAGATCGGGCTGAATTCCAAGATGCCTAGTCGGTTCCCTCCTGTTGTGTTTTACACTCCTAAAGAGCTGGGAGGACTTGGTATGTTGTCCATGGGTCATGTCCTCATTCCACAGTCAGATCTCAGGTAATGAATGAGCCTTAGACCTTACCCCACTCAAATATAACTGGCTAGTCCCTCAATACTGAATCTTCAAATCTAGATCCTGAATCATTGAGAACTTTTTGGACGGAGACTCGAGTCGAGTTTCGAGGCTGATTGTGAAATTATCGAGGGTTTGGAAGAAATTTGCATGTTGAGAAATAAAATGTTTTTTGCGCAATTCATTTTTTAACACATCTAGAACCTTCTCAGAAGTTACCTTGGAGATTATGTCATATGCCGATTCCCCATTCTGTTCTGATCTTTTGTGTTTTTTTCTCTTGTTTGGTTATGTGTCATGTTACATTTGTTGTCTCTTGTACTGCAGTCGTTTGCCTTTTGTGGCAATGATCCGTTCAGTCTTTATTTCCTTTCCTTTTTGACCTGATTCTCAAGGGAGTGCTGTTGTTTTTACTTTTCAGGTGGTCACAACAGACCGATGTAGGAATCACTCACTTTAGATCTGGAATGAGTCATGACAAAGATCAGTTGATCCCTAACTTGTACAGGTATTGTATATTGTCATTCCTGCTGATCTCTCCCTTACCAGTAAAGTTTGTCGCGCCTGAGCATATTTGAAGTGTTAAGAAGACTACTGCTGCTGTTGTTGCTCAAATGTCAAAGAGTTGGATCAGAAGATTAGTTTAATGTGAGCATCGCAAAACACTTTAAACTCAAACCCAAGCCACCCGATAATAGTACTGTTCATTTTGTGAACATAACAGGTACATTCAGCCTTGGGAAAGTGAATTCATTGATTCCCAGCGAGTGTGGGCAGAATACGCGTTAAAACGGCAAGAAGCCAATGCTCAGAACAGGTGAGTGCTATTGTAAATTAATTGTTCGGAGATATCTCCACTGGAGCTAGTCTTTTTTTTTTTTTTTTTTTTTTTTTTTTTTTTTTTTTTTTTTGTCCCACGTTCGTGATTTTAGAACACTTTCCTTTCTCTTATTATCTTGATTGATATTTGCTATCTGTCTTATTCCATTTTAAATACGTGTTCCTACTGGCGTCGATGTAGAAGGCCAACGGTGCGAAAACGGTCGACTGAATTTGTTTTTTTAATCGCACTTAATCGCCTGCAATAAAATCGTTTGAATTAGAATGGGTAGTTGAAGGAAGTTTTCTCTGTAAAAGTTGCGTTTGTTGCTTTCTTTAGACGTTTGACTTTGGAAGATTTGGAGGACTCGTGGGATCGTGGAATCCCTCGTATCAACACACTGTTTCAGAAGGACAGACACACGCTTGCTTACGATAAAGGATGGAGAGTGAGAACAGACTTCAAACAGTACCAGGTAAACTAACATTAATCGATAGTAATTTATGTGTTCCGAACAGAGTAAAAACTAACTTGGAATGACTTGGATTACCTCCTCTTTCCAACAACCAATACTTCTCTGAAGCTGTCATACTTTTCTTCCATCAGACTTTGGTTGCTTCTTCTTGTGAGACCTTGCACCAAGCTTTCCAACCAAATGCGAAGAACAAGCTTTCTCTGTCTCAATTTCCGACACCTACCCTCCATACTACTGAAGGAATTTTTTATAATTTGGAGTTTATTGTTTCAAGATGCGTTACACTTGACACAACCTTAAATAAACCACATGACCCTTGAGTGTAACCCCTTTAACTCCCAAGATCTGATTGTGAATTCTCCCATCTAGCTGCCACAGATTTCCTTGTAAATTAGTTGGGAGAATTTGATGTTACATCAAGATAACTTCTACTTGATAAGTTTGAGTATTCTTGTTACCTGTATAATGTATAGATTATAGGGTGAAATTAAAGGTTAATCATTTCTGCGGTTGAGAGGCTTCAGCCGTTTGTTAAACTTGAATTACTAAGCCCTCCTTGCGCCACCTTTTGTAGGTTCTAAAACAGAATCCATTCTGGTGGACACATCAGCGCCATGACGGAAAACTATGGAACTTGAACAACTACCGCACAGACATGATTCAGGCCCTTGGTGGTGTCGAAGGAATCCTGGAACACACGCTCTTTAAAGGAACTTACTTCCCCACCTGGGAGGGTCTGTTCTGGGAGAAGGCCAGTGGATTCGAGGAGTCCATGAAATACAAGAAACTGACCAATGCACAGAGATCTGGTTTGAATCAGATTCCCAACAGAAGATTCACCCTGTGGTGGTCACCGACTATTAACAGAGCTAACGTAAGTGTTTTTTTACGGACTAGTTGTACATCTTGTCCCTTATTTACTTACAAGCTCAGTATCCCATTACTGACGGAACCTATTCCAGTTTATGATGCATAAAGCAGGAACTTGTCCAGGTATTTTTGATGGGGCGCAGGCGGAAGATCCAAACTTCTATTGGGAAAACAAACTTGCCCCCTCCCCCCTGAGGAAAATTACCTCATAATCAACTCCCGCTAACCGCTAACCGCCTCCCGGTTAGCTCAATGGATAGAGCGCTGGACTGTTGTGCGGGAGGTCGAGGGTTCGAGCCCCGGCCGGACCAACACTCAGGGTCTTAAAATAATTGAGAAGAATTTGCTACCTTTCTATAACATCAAGAAATGGTTAGATATTCTAGTCTTCTCGGATNGAGTCACTCTGGCCATTTTTAAAACCCGCGCTATGTTTTAAAGTTTTTTTTTTTTTAATGCTCGTCAAATCTCGCAGTATTACAGCGAGAAAAATGCGCTAAAAAAGTGCTTTACTGAATTTGATTCTTCTGATTACTCTGTTAAACAATTCGTTTTTCTCTTGGCTCAGCTAAGTTTAGAAATCTCTTTCTCTCTGTCAAACATCCACTGCTATATTTGATCTTTACGTATCTTTTGTCAGTAAATTAAGTTTTTCTATCCTGAAGAAGCCAAATTTTCCAGGTTGGCCAAACCAAAGCCTACCTTCTTTACGTGATCTCGTGTGACCTTTTCTTTGCAGCGACATCATGGACAGTACTACAACCCAAAAGTACTGGGTCGACGTGCAGCTCCGTTGGGGAGACTACGACTCGCATGACATTGAAAGATACGCACGCGCAAAGTACCTGGACTACACCACTGACAACATGAGTATCTACCCCTCCCCCACAGGGGTGCTTATTGGCATTGACTTGGCATATAATCTGCACAGGTAACACGAGATTTGGAGGGATAATATACAGGGGTGGAAAAACAGTGAAGTGGTTCTCAAAACTATCCAATTTTTTTTTAACTACCATCAATAACGGGTGGTTTGGCCTGCAGTGCAGGCGTCTTATTTGGGCGACTTGACGCTATAAGCTCGCGATTGTTTGTTCGGTCGGCCATATTTGATTTCAAGTCAGAAGAACGTTGGGCGTAGGAGGGCGGGGAAAATTGAGAAAACCCACTCCCACACCCTTTCCTTTCTTTCCTTTCTTTCCTTTCTTTCCTTTCTTTCCTTTCTTTCCTTTTGACTGTCGCTCACCCCCTTGGTACAAATTTCTTTCTTTCCTCTGCCTTGAAAATCAAATATGGCAGCTATAATTTTAATTAAGAAAATACCTAACACTCGCTGGCAAAACTTACGCTTGCTCTGCAGGCTACGGGTGGGCGAGAATGTTTCGACATTCTGGACGAGGAATGTTAGAACGCAGCCTTGTACTGAGATTTCAAGTTTAAATTACTTGAGTTTTGTTTGTTTTCCTCCATTTTCCATTTTCATTTTCTTCTGATAACCGTTCCTGTTATTGCTTGCAGTGCCTTTGGCAACTGGTTCCCAGGAGTGAAACCGCTCATCCAACAGGCCATGGCAAAGATCATGAAGGCCAATCCCGCCTTGTATGTGCTGAGGGAGAGAATAAGGAAAGGCCTTCAGTTGTACTCCAGTGAACCCACTGAGCCTTACCTGTCTTCACAGAACTACGGAGAACTCTTCTCCAACCAGATCATCTGGTTTGTGGACGACACTAATGTTTACAGAGTCACAATTCACAAGGTAATTTATTTTGTTACATGTCACGCAGTCGCATGCAGCAGGAGTTTGTTTCTGTCACGGTCAGAAGTTGCCACATGAATCCTGAGAACTTCACTTCGAGCGTGAACGGTTTCTAATTCTAGGGTTTAAGGGTATTTTGCATTAATCATGTCTAGCCGAATAGAAAGAACTGGTTCTGGCTTGACTTCGGTATCAATACCATGACCTTGCGCAGTGATATTCGGCTCTCAGAATTCTTGAGCATCTCGCGAGTAGTCCACGCAAAATCCGCCAGGCTTCTACTGGAAAAACAGGGCCAGTTTGACCAGAATCATTTGTTTGTTGTCAGAACTGACAGATACCTTAAATGCGGAGGAGGAGCTCCCATCAGCTAGATCTGACTAAAGAAAGCGGCCTGTATTGACGGAAAATAACTACGGAAAGCTGCATACTTAACTCATCTTTCACAATTTCACTTCTTTCCCCTTAGACATTTGAGGGTAATTTAACAACCAAACCTATCAACGGCGCCATCTTTATATTCAATCCTCGCACGGGGCAGCTCTTCCTGAAGATCATTCAGACCTCAGTGTGGGCGGGACAGAAACGTCTTGGACAGGTACGTTGTGTAATACTACGTCAGGGTGTTTTTAGGTTAGACCTGGAAGGGGTATCTAAATTAAATCAAACTGTTTAAAATAGAATTACGTCACCTAGTATAGATGATGTTTTGAAGTGAAGTGTGTTTTGAAACTTTAGCTGGCGAAATGGAAGACAGCAGAAGAAGTGGCGGCCTTAATTCGCTCGCTTCCAGTAGAGGAACAACCTAAACAGATCATTGTTACAAGAAAAGGCATGCTCGACCCTCTGGAGGTACAGTAAAATGTTTGCACTGTTCTTACAAATCTCTGTTAATCAGTGAAGATATTGATTTGGAATTTGCTCACTCGAATGAAAGTGCTGTTTATGTGTGCTGCGGTTATTGAGTAAATCTTTAATTATGTTCTAGGTTCATCTGTTGGATTTCCCGAACATTGTTATCAAAGGCAGTGAGTTACAGCTTCCTTTCCAAGCTTGTTTGAAGGTTTGTTTGAATTTAAAGCATCATTTACGTCAGGAAAACCCGCACTTTCCTGTTTCCTTAAGTTTGGACACATTTTGAACGAGCACACCATAAAGCAATATTGACTTACGCCGTGTCTTATTGTGGTTGTATCTTCCAGGTTGAGAAGCTTGGTGACATGATTTTGAAAGCCACAGAGCCGCAGATGGTGTTGTTTAACTTGTACGACGATTGGCTGAAGACTATTTCGTCTTACACAGCATTTTCTCGTCTGATCCTCATTCTTCGCGCCTTGCACGTCAACGCTGACCGTACAAAGGTCATCCTTAAACCGGACAAGACCACAATTACAGAACCCCATCACATCTGGCCAACACTGACCGACGAGGAATGGGTGCCAGTTGAGGTACGTTGGTGAGCTTTGTACTATTCGATTCCAAACACATAGGTTAGCATGGTCTGTGTGGATGGAGTTGTTCATTGGTGCGCACTCGCCGTTTGGTTTTTTTTTTTTTTTTTTACCTGCGAGCTTGGGGTGGCTCTGATTCGAGAATGCTGTCTATGGGCGTGCGCGCGCGGAGTGGTTCGTTCGTACGCATTCGTGTGCGCTACCCATGTGTTCGTGTCTTTTCGTGTTCGCACGCTTGTGTGGAGTAGTTCAGTCGTACACACACACTTGCCCTGATGTCTTGCAACGTTTCTGTTGGTTCATACACGTGGATGATTTCACAAGGCTTATCAATCAAGCGTTCGATCCGACGTTTTATAATTTATTCCAAATAATTTTTACTTATTCTCCTTGAAAGTTAACCAACTGTTATGTTTGTTGAACAGGTGGCTCTAAAGGATCTGATCTTAGCTGACTATGGCAAAAAGAACAAGTAAGTTTATGTCTGAAAGGGTTTCGATTTTTTTTTTTTTTTTTCGTTCTTACTCTCGGCGTTCTTCGTCGTAGAATAACTCTCGTGACCTTTAATTTTTTTACAGCGTGAACGTAGCTTCCCTGACGCAGTCTGAGATCCGCGATATCATCCTTGGAATGGAGATTTCTGCTCCTTCGCAACAGAGGCAGCAGATAGCTGAAATCGAGAAGCAGACCAAGGAACAGTCACAGCTGACAGCCACTACCACTCGGACTACCAACATCCATGGAGATGAAATCATTGTTTCTACAACCTCAAACTACGAGACACAGACGTTCTCGTCCAAGACAGAGTGGCGTGTCAGAGCCATCTCGGCAACAAACCTTCATCTGAGAACCAACCAGATTTACGTGTCATCAGATGACATCAAAGAAACAGGCTTTACCTACATCTTGCCAAAGAATATTCTGAAGAAGTTTATTGTGATTTCGGATTTGAGGACACAGGTAGAGAATTGTTCAGTTTGAAACTGCTTTTCGATCGAAGTAATCAGAAAGGTCAATCAGAGCAGAGGTCATCATCGTGAGCAGCCACTCACAAGCCCTTCACTCTCAATATTTAGATGTAAATTCTCCTTACTCTCTGCCATACATTTTTTATAAATTTTGTTCCGAGTGTGGCGTTAGATCAATGATATTCCCCTCGTTGATATTTTTGCTTTTCTCAATACTTAGCGGCTTGTTATTGTATTGATGCTGTAAGGAGAAATTATGTTTTGGTCGCTTGTCCACTTGTAGGGAAAATCTTGCAGTTCACTCTTTTTTTTATTATTATTATTATTATTATTATTATTATTATTATTATTATTATTATTATTATTACTTTTCGCACTTCCGCGAAAAATGATGAAAGGTTTTGATTTTTCACTTTGGTTTTCTAGAGTAACTGAGAATTTCTTCAAGGAGTGAAAGTTGACCGTTTTTCTTTAAACTGATTCTTAACGCCCTCTTGTCTCATTGTATGATGTGTATTTTATTGTAGATCGCCGGTTACTTGTACGGAGTAAGTCCGCCTGATAACCCCCAGGTTAAAGAGATCCGGTGTATTGTGATGGTACCGCAATGGGGCACACACCAGACAGTGCACTTACCGAACATGTTACCACAGCATGACTACCTCAAGGTTAGAACCCTCGCGTTTGTTCCTTAAAAGAAAGCGGTTTAAAGTACCGGAAAATCAACGGGAGGGCACTGTGCTCTTTTCGCTCGCCAACAAGTTATTTGTGGAGTATCCAAAGTAGCAATTTTTGTCCTTTTCAACGCTTGTAACAAAGTTTTCACTTCCTTCCTAAAGTTATGATTTCATGGCTAATTTCTTTTAAGAGCGTGTTGGGTGATTAATGGCAAGTCTGTCAGCACCTCAAATCGTGAACGGGACTAAAGAGCCTGGGACCTAACGAGTTCAGGGAAAAAAAAAGTACCCGATCTCCTACGTGCTTCTTCGCCAGTATTTTCTCTTTGGATTTTTTTTGTGTACCCACAAATCCCTAGCACTTGTAGGTCACGAAATGCTTAATACCCTTGGAAGTTTTCAGTCATAGGTTTTAAACCGTTATTCTGTTTTTCAGGAGATGGAACCCTTAGGGTGGGTTCACACCCAACCCAACGAACTACCACAGCTGTCTCCTCAAGACGTTACAACGCACGCTAAGATCATGGCGGACAATCCGTCTTGGGATGGCGAGAAAACTGTCATCATTACATGCAGGTAAACATTTACTAAATATATTTAAAGAAGCAACTTCACCATCCTCAAAGGGCTCGATTACTTCTCAACAGCAGAAAGAAAGACGGGAACAGTTGAACGCGAATTAATCACTGGTGTCTTAAAGCGAGCATACTAAGGACACTGAAGTATGGAAAAGGCATTACATCGTGGATAATTTCAAAGGCAAATTATAATTGTGAAACTGCATTGTGAAAATTGTGGTCAGTACAGTGCAGAAAAATTTATGTCGAATGACTCCATTAATTGTATCCATGGTTTGTTTTCCAGTTTTACCCCGGGTTCCTGTTCACTAACAGCCTACAAACTGACCCCCTCGGGTTACGACTGGGGGCGGAACAACAAGGACACCGGTAACAATCCCAGGGGTTACCTTCCGTCTCATTACGAGAAGGTGCAGATGCTGTTGTCAGATCGCTTCCTCGGTTTCTTTATGGTACCCACTCAGGGATCCTGGAACTTCAATTTTATGGGTGAGTTTATAAAGTGTCGCTCTGATTTTAATGAATTGTAGTTGTTTTCCTTAAGACGCAAGAGGCTTTTTGTATGTTAAAGCAGATAACGGCACCAATCTTACTCCTGTTTCGAAAGGAAATTTTTGAATAAGTACAGAAGAACAACGGGAAAGGGTTAACGTAACTCGGAAAGATTTAAGAACAAATCTACTGAGCTGATCTTGAAAATTGCGGCCGCTGGACATCCTAAAGTTCTTGACGACGAAACGAATCAAATTGAAGAAAATGTAGTCTACTTCATTGTAATATTAGGAATTATGTACAAACAATTCTCAACGAACTTTGTGAATAGTGTGGAATAATTCATAAACAATCTTAAAGTAAACGAATTTCGGGTGCAAACAAGAGTATTACCAATGCTCTTTATTCCCCTTTACTGCAGGAACCGGGATGAGCTGTTTCGGTTGGGGGGAGGGTGAGGGGCGGCAGCAGTTACCTATGAGAGGGAAAACGAAGTGTCATTATCCTATCTATAAATCTAACATTTTTGTTCGTTTTCTGTTTTGCAGGTGTTCGTCACTCTCCTAACATGCGTTACGAGTTGCAGTTGTCCAACCCCAAAGAGTTCTACCATGAAGTCCATCGGCCCTCGCACTTCCTCAACTTCAGCACCATGGAGGATGTGGAAGTTATCGGCGCTGATAGAGATGATATGTTCTCTTAGCTTGCCTGTGAAGGGGCCAAGAGTTGATTGATTACGGATTGACTGGTTACTTTGGGAGGTCATATTTACATGGCCTCTTCCAAAGGAGTGAAAATTCTATGAGTGCTCACTTTTAGTGTCGTATACACCAAAATCTTCTTCGAAGGAATTTGCCGCGCCTTAGAGGGTCGGGACATGCGTTGGAATGAAGGCTTTCTCTGAGCAGGAGTAGTTTTTATTCCGTAGGTAATAGTTCTGTACAAGTAGTCAGACTCTATCACTGGTTGTCTTAGAGCATAAAACTATCATGAGAAATAACATGTTGTTTTTCTTTTAATGTTAATAGACTTCTTGATTACGCTTTCCAGTTTTGTACTCTCTGTTTTTGTATATACTTTTAATAAAGTACGTCTTAACAGTAAGTTTAAATTGTCGTAGCATAAGTTTTGTAATGTCATGTAGTCAAACCTCCATCGTTTTGTTTGTAGCGAACCAAATAAACGTTTCCTTATACTTGTTTTCCTTGGATTCTGCATTCTGACGTTATGCTGACCTCTTGTTTCTCCCTTTGAATCATGATCCGTCTCGAAACAAACCTGTAGATAAGAACAGGTATGTTGGTCATGCATATGGGCAACATTTCCCTCTTCTTGTTTTTCATACTAGCCTTGACCCTTTACACTCAACATCAGTATGCATATTCTCCATACTGTTCTCCTATCAAGTGCAGAACTTATTAGAATCGTGGGCATTTCGTTTGTGATTTTGGGGATTGCTTTGATTTTGCTGCACTTCGCTATTTGATGGCTCTACCAAACTCTGTCATCTTCCCAATCAATCAAATTCGGAATTAAATGACCAATCGTGCCTTGGTCGCGCATTTTCCTGTGGTTGAAGCACCTGCATTTCTTAATGGTTGCTTGAGGCATGTCCAGTTCTCATGATGGCTGTATTGACAATTTTGAACGAGGTTTCGAAATGCGCGCTATGTTGCGATCTTTCCTTTACGCCTGTTTATCTACTCCAGCGTTTACCTTATTCTTTTCGTTTGGATAAACACTTTTCGTAGACATGCACTTCTGTGCTGCATGTACCCTTAAATTTACGGCGTTTACACTTGTAGTTAGGCGTCTGTGACTCAATGAGATCGCAAGCTTTCACCCTGAAAGTTTTCACTCTTTTCAACTCAGCCTCCGTACAAATACTTTTGGTGTTGCTGTATGTATGGGTGTGTTTTTCACTGTTTTCATAAACCTAGCACCTAGTCAAAAGAAATTATCACCTATAACAACCACAGTGAATCTTAATTTCACTTTAAGAAGTCTCCTCCGGAATGCAAACTTAGCCAACCTCGCTTTCAAAGTTTTCTTCGCGAGGATGAATTTGCACGTGCGGAAATTTTTTCAACTCATTTACATTTTATGATTCCTCGTGGTCTGAAGTGTATCACTTACTCTCAGGGTAAAGAAAACAAGGAAAACTCGTCAGCATATCGAGTTTAATATCTTAAATTGGCTGAGGGATTCTTGTGCTTGAAAGCCGTCATCTGACATGGAGTGAGGTTTACGAAACAGAAACAGGGTAAGAGTGTAAATTCATTCAAATCTTAAGTTGTTGTAAAGTGCACTTGTTGAAGTTGGGAGGATTCTGAACTGACAGAGGAAACTATTCGAAGTAGCTCGCGACGAGTAATGGCACACTCGTATCTCGGTTAGCCAACGAAACGATAGAAACTAACCATAGAACAGTTTTATCGGCACAATTAACCATTTATTGTAACAGTATGTCCGCGGCTTTGTAGCCGCGGACATTCTTTGCTTGGCGATAAATCCCGGCAAATCGAGTTGAAACTTGTAAAACAGATCGACAATTATTCTCTCTAAAGAGGCATTAAAAAAATTTAAAATGAACTTTGTTTTAGATTAAAGAACATTGGAAATGTTAAAGCGCGAGGAGTTCGACATAAAATATGCTCTTTACCTATGTTATCGAGACCCCTATCGAATACTAACGCTGTACTTCGACCCAAGAGAAATGATATTTTTCTTTTACCCTCAGAGACACACTTTTGTGATAGATGTATCAATAAAAATCACAAGAAAGGATGTAAAGGAAACGAAAGTAAATTACTACGCCGAGGTAAGCTACAGGATTAGGTTATACAAAATAGGCTCAGAGTGTGCGTATGTGGCTGACTGACATATGTATGCACAAATCCATGATGGTCATTTGAGCCAAAATAACAGAATCGTTTGGAGTTAGCTTTCGTCGGCCAGTTGCAAGTTTCAAAGGAATCGCATATGAAAAATCATCAGGCCGGCGTATTCAACTTTTGTGAGTGTCTGAAGAATTAGAAAGTAGAAAAATAACAATTCCAGTCAAAAATCGATTTTTAGGGGATACCTCATTTATAAAATTCGCTCAACATTACTAAAAGCTTTTTATGAATAATTTACATGAGAAGAAGGAATTGACAAATTTTCTAAAACAGTTCAATATTCTACGAAGTGCCCAATTGTCAACCAAATAATGTGATATTTACCAGCGAAAGTTATGCAAATATCTGATTCTTTTATTGGTTGATTTTCTGCCACAAAACTTTATCAATAACAAAGAATGATGGGAATGTAAACATACTTTTGCGCTCATAAAAAATCGTTGTGAATTTTAAAACCTCTGATTTTCTTTCACGAGTAATGTTTTAGGATAACTTTTCTAGTCTCGCGTTCATAAAAGTGGAAAAAAAAATAGGCAGAAAAATCTTGACAAACCGCGAGACAAAGTTTTCTGCGCACGTCAGAAATTGTCGCTCAGAAGAAAGCGTGTGATCATCTCTTAGTTTCTCCAAACATTTCTAATATAAATTTATGTGAGACGGGTTTATTTTTCATTTGTGCCGAAAACTGTCAATTCTGGTGGTGCATTTGTTTGGATATCTAAGCTTTCAAATTATAGAATGCAGTTGCGTCAAAAAGTATTTTGAATTTCCTATTTATGAACTAATCATCAAAGACAAACAGTAAAAAAACTAGATCGCTGATTTCAAGTTACTGAGTCTTCGAAATGCTCTTATTTCTTTCATTTTGAATTTTCTTCAATATCATAAAGATTCTTTGTTTTTGCCAAAGCATAATCAGTTCATGTAGGCGAAAAGACCTTTTAAGCTATTTGGCCATGTGGCTTAGAGTGAGTAAACAAGAATACAAAATGGCTGTTCAAGTATGCGCCACAGACGACATGCACGAAATTCCTTCTTCTCTCGACCGAAATTTCCATATTCACGGATATATCAGCTCTCAAATGACTGAAGTTATACAGAAGAGGAGTCGTTAACTGAGATTATTAAACGACCTCAAGCTGGAAAAACAAACTTGTGAGCACACGATCTTCCAAGATCGCAGAAATACATGAAACGGGTACAAAAGGAAAGCAGATGTATTACAAAAACAACGTTTGACGATTTTCTTATTTGAGGTTGGAATGAAGCTATATTTTGTCGAAAACTGTAAAGTTTGTTTAATTTCGCGATAATTGATACGCTCTGGTTATATGGTCTGCAGCCGGTCAAAGTTCTTAAATGACTGAATGAACGGCAGTCGGATATTTTTCTGATAATTTAACATATGTCGATGAGGAACTACTAAGCGATTTCGAAGTGAATTATAAATCTCATATCTAGCACGCGGTTTACGATGACTCAGAATACTTAGAAACTGCCTGAGGTCGACTGCCCGTAACAATTCTTAAGTAACTTAATGACCGGCAGTCGGAAACTTTTCCAAAAGTTTAAGTGACCGAGACCACCCATATAATCCAAACTAATAGTTGTTGACGAGGAACTGCTAAGTGATCTCGAGGAGACTTATAACTTTCATGTATAACGCTCAGTTTACGCTAAGTGTCAACATCCATGATCTCATTTCAACTTGAACTTGCATTACAAAGGGTAAGATATCCTCGTCAGGAATCTGTCAACTGTCATCGTAGGCAGCAAGATATGGAGACAGGAGGGATTCTGGGAAGGGGCAGAGGCCTCATAGTACACTAGGCAAAGGGTTCGAATTTTCGAAAATGTCTTCTGTGTAGTTCAGTGACACACTCAGAGCTATTTGCTCTTGACAGTGTCCAGGTTGTACTTAGTCGTTTTGCGACAAAGAAAAAGTAAAAAGTCATTCAAAAAAGAGTCCCATTACATATCGTATCCACCCTTTGGTGCGGAAACTATCGAAAACACAGCGTAAAAGTGGCTACAAAGTAATTCAGTTTCGGGATTTTTTCACTGAAGGAAGTACTTTGAAAATGATATGTAATGGGACTCTTTTTTGAATGACTTTTTACTTTTTCTTTGTCTCAAAACGACTAAGGACAACCTGGACACTGTCAAGAGCAAATAGGTCTGAGTGTGTCACTGAACTACATAGAAGACATTTTCGAAAATTCGAACCCTTTGCCTAGTGTACAATGAGATCTCCTGCGTCCCAAAACACCCGGCCGCCTCTGAAATGTTACTTGTGGTGATCTTCAACTTCCAGTAATACACCCAGAGGGAAGTGGAAAATGCATACATTACAATGAGGTTTCAATAACCTTTATTCTGCAAATGAAGTTCGTTTGTGTTCTGCAGTTCCTTGATCCCTTGTGCTTAAGCACGGAGAGAGAAGAGAGGAGTGATTCGAACTGAAGAAAACTTAAGAGAATCAGTTGGAAAGAAATTTTAGAGGTAACAGTAACTTAATGCCACCAACTAAAAGTAACGTACAAATAAACGAATTTCTTTGAACAAAATCAGGATTTTGCTGTAGAAACTGAACAAACGACAACGGATTCTATTATTTTTAAAATCTATCGAAGTGGAGCTGTTATTAGAGACGAGTCTGGTGATTTTGAATTAATTCTTTCTATAAAGACAATATCAAACTTTCAACTAGTTTGATTTAGAAATAGCCACTTGGAAGGTGTTCTCGTGACAGTTAACTTCTGACGCAGCTAAGCATTAAGCAGTTTTAAGCCTAATTTTGCACATTTTATTTCGTTGATCTGTGGCGGTTAGACTCAGTCAAATTTTTGCACGTATCAGTTTGTCGACATGTTTTTGACCTAAAAATTCTGTCAGATCCTATCGATTTAAAAGTTTTATAGAGATGTAAATAATTCTGAGCCGAGTAGTTATCAGATTTAATTAAATTTTGCCTTAGTTTCTTTTTGCCTAGTTAGATTACAAATCTTCTATTTTCCTTAAGAATGTTTTCGACTTTGGCCTAGTTATTCCCCATGTTATCAGACCTACTTGACTACCGCTTTGTACAACTCTTGCTTTTGTTGGTAAAGAATTTTATTACACGACTCGGGCAGTCAGAGGGCCAATGACTAAAATCAAGCCAATAACTAAAATCAATAACTAAAATCAAGTCCCGAATGGTCCCGAATGATACCGCACTTGTGTCCCTTTGAACTTCAGTCGTATAATAAATCTCTTATTAACCAAGCTTGCTCGGGACCGTACTGGAAGAATATCGGCTCTC